CAACTATATTTGCAGAATAAAAGGTCAAGGAACGACACCAAAAAAAACAACTTTATACATCCTACATTTGTATTGCTACTCAGTTATAGTGTCACATCTCACTCAAATAGAAATGTTCAAAAAGGGTTTACAGAAAGACACACTCAGTGCTTTCTTTGTCACACTCATGCCACAAATACACGCACTCCAGTTCTGGACAAAAGCTGACAAGTCCATATACCTCCTTTTATTTGCTCACTTTTCACACTAGAAAAGATGGCTTTAATAATTTGCTATTTTGACTAGTCCTTAAGGTGAGACTTTACTGGCTTTGATTTCCATGTACCAACATTAATGTATTTGTCACAGGGATGGAGAGCTATCCTGCTACGTCTCGTCTCCTCGAGTTCGTCCCGGAGCCGTTACTGGCAGGCGTTCTCGGCGGCGTTGGATTCATGTGCCTGGCGCTCATCCTGCTGCTTGGGTTGGCCTGCATCATCAGCCGCAAGAGGGACCAACGCCGCAGAGGGATAAAGGACGGTAAAATGGCCCCCACTCTAGAGACATTCTGATGAATATCATCAGTTATTCAATAAAATATTGAGGCACATCCTAGTCTTTGTATAAATCATACCCGGCTACATGGATTTGGCACTCCTCTTGTCCCTTACTCCTCCATCCAGTTGTGAATGTTATTGATGCCATTGCTTGCTAATTAGGGTAATTTCTCATTAGTGGCTGATAAATGTAAGGGTAATTAACTTTTGGACAGCCGTGGGCTCTTTAATGGGTTCTTGTTTGGGTAGATTATGTTTTTACTCTTTGGTCAGTGTGGGTGTATCCTAATGAGTCAGATATCATTTCACACCCCTCCCTCCCTTTCCAGATCCCCCTCCTGCCATCTATAAATGCTCCCCAACAATGTGAGTACTACTTTATCAATTCATTGTCAAACTTGACTTCGACTTTTCCTTCGGGTTTCTCTTTGAAAGTGTTGAAAATGCCAGCAATTTTCTATTTCATCTTTATCTTCCTCATCTATTGCTGCTTCTGTTTTCATCTTTCTCTGACTACAATTTTCCCTCCTCCTCATTTATTCAGTCTTATTTTTACAGTCTGTTTCTCCTCCTCTTACATTTTGTTTTCTTATGATTTTTCCCATCACTCTCACAGAAAGACTTCAGGCTCCAGTACTCCAGACAGTTTGTTGAAGAAAAGCCTCCTTCCCACCAGCTCAGTCTATCCCACAACGTCTTCCATCACCTCGTCCTTGCAGACAGACTGTTCCTCCTTCAACACTGAAACTAATCATCGGCGTAAGCAGCTCATGTCAAACTACAACAGACTTACTAAAACAACCTCTCTGATTTCTCCTTCTGTTGAGATGATCTCTAGAGGTCCAGATGGCCGGTTCACACTCCCACCATATGACGATGACACCTTAAGTGTTAGCAGCAAGAAAAATGTAAAGTATGACCAACATGGGAGAGTCAGAAGGTCTGTGTCATTGCACTTGGAAAGGGAGGACAAGAAAGAGTTGCCATATGTGCTCTCAATTGATTTCCCACCTTGTAAGCTTAATGGAGATTCCACAAGTCAAATGTGTGACATAGAACATCACAGCTCGTATGGTACAGATGAGAACGCAACCTATGATCCTGATCATTGCAGCTTGTACTCCAACAGTAGCCTGACCACCATCAATCATCACAACAGAGAAATTACTCCCGTATTTCCAGTACTCCCACACATCCGATCTGGCTTCGGTCAGCCATATGCAACAGTGAGCACGCTGGTGCTCCAAATGGAACATGAGCGGGAAAAGGGGAATCTCAGTCGTTGCCTGAAACTGGCTCAGGAGAGAGAAGAACTTGAGAGGGAGCTCCAGAGGTACATGCTAGAAAGAAACAATTTCAAAGAAATGAAGGAGGAGGAAGATGTTAAGCAGCTTGTTTATAAGTATAAGAGTAACACTTTGCCAAATAAATATCGGCAAGGCGGCAAGGAAAATTTATTCCCATCATGTCCTATCCACCGGGAAGCCCGTCCTCATGATTCTCACCCATCTCTGATTCCATCCAGAGAACACTTCAGAGCACCTCAAACTTCAACTCCATCTTACTTAAAGTTTGACAGTTGTCCTTCTTCGTCCTTTTCCCACCAGACCTTTCTTGACCCTGAGAAAGCAGCTCGTTGTCCCACAACTCTACCACAACTCCCCTCAAAACGCCTGAAATATGAAAGACTAGATTCATCACCAAACGGCTTTGAAAATTCAACCCAATCTACCATATTGGACATTCAAACAAAGGATTCACTGCACAGCCTTAGTCATGGCAACCTTCTGGCTTCGTCTTTTCACAGCAATCAATACACCGAAAGATCTAACTTAACTTTTGATGAAGCACCATATTCTTCAAGGCGGGATTTAACGTTCCCTGAACATGATGAGAAAGAAATAAGTGTTGAGATGAGCGTAGATGAGCCGGAGTTTGAGATGACTACATTGGGGTCTACAAAACCCCTGTTGCACCAAAGAATTGCTTCTCATTTGCAGCATGGGCGGCCCCTGACTCAAAGAGGTCGGCATGAAGACATAAAAAGGAGCACAAGCTTCAACTTCACTAGCCCAGCTACTGTGGAAAACGCTGAATGGGTCCACCAATCTCAGCAACCTTCAGAACCAGAACTTTGGAGAGCTCGGAGTCGAGGCTCGAAGATCTGGGACCACAAAAGGCGGAGTCAGAGCCTTGATTTGAGGAGGCAGAAGAAGGAGAGCGCTTTTCTCACGCCAGATGCATGGATAGACTCTCTCAGCCAAGAGAACTGCTCTGTTCCATCGTCCTGTCAACCAGACTCTTCAAGAATAAAATCTCCTGCAAGTCCTCATCCAGCGATCCAAACTACCTCCTGTTCCAGTTCTGCTGTTGATCATTTATCTCAAAGAAGCGGTCCACAGTGGCTGGTTCCAGATCCTGCTGTGTTCGGCCATCGTAAGCTGTTAAACAATGCTTCTCTCTCATCTGATTCTGATAATCAGCCAGCTGTCTATCAGGATGCATTGAAAGGAGCTTCCACATACATCCCACCCATCAACAATAACCTGGAAGTGGAGACTGACGGAGTTCCTGAGTCTGGGGGTAGCTACAGCAGTTATGCCAGCAGCGGCCGAGGCAGCATGGAGACGAATAACTGCTCGCCTGAAACTGTGGAGGGTACCCAGGGAAGCTTAGCAGACAAACATGGTGGCCATGTTGAAGCAAGGTAAATGTTTTATATTAAGGAAATAAAATTTTAGTGCCGGAAAATGTGACAAATTTTACTTTAAGGGTAAAATAATTCCAGTAGTTTGTATCCAAACTGAATGGGGATTGTTCAGATTTTTTAAGTGAGGTTGTATGGAACGGTTTTGATCAAAATATCTGTTAGTTGTTTTCTCTGATCATTGTTAAAGAAGGCACCCGTTATCTTAAAACATCTTGAATACAATACAAAATAGTTGCTGCTGGTATTTTGCATGTACAGATTATATACATTTTTGAGATTGAAGTCGTTATAAAAAGGTATTTTGGTCTTGGCCCCAACAGTACCCACTTGTTAAACAGAAGTCATCCACATTGTGAACAATCTTTCCATAGAATCACATTAAAAATATATATATAAATTGTGATACATTTTGTTAAAATTTTCACATTTATTGGCTTCAACAGATGTTAAAGAACATGCAATTCTCAGTGCTACAAACTAACTTACAATACTTTGTTTTGTACAAATCTTTTAAAGCATATGCCTTTCTAATGTTTTTTTAATCCATCTTGCTACGATTTGTTGCACATAAGAGAACCTTTTCTAATGCAGAACTTTCAAAGTACATTCAAATCTCTGTAGGACATCAAGAGAAACATCAGAAGAGGTTTCTTTTAAAACTGCAAAATTTCCTCCTTGGATTTACAGTCATATATACATTATAGCGTTTATACAGTTTTTTTTTATGTTTTGTCATTTCTTTAGGAGAAAGCCGTCTGTAGATGAGATGTACGAGTGGGACGCTGCTGATTTCAACTCGCAGCCTGGAGACCATGATGGTAACAGTTTAGCTTTTCTTCCTGAAAAGAAAATGTGCCCGTTGTTTTGCAAAAAAAAAAAAATCCTAGTTAAACAGTGAATGTTAAATTGTTCACATCCTCTTTTGCTTTGTTGCTTTCATATCTCCAGATTATTTGTGACTAGAGTAGACTAAAGTAGTAACATTATGTTTTAAATGGAGCCTGATAGTTATGGAACTTTTGGCTATCATTAATACCTGGCTGAAATGGCTGAAAAATTTTGAGCTCTGTCCACCCCCAAGAAAACAGCAAGTGGAGCGGGGCTTGTTTGTTTAGCGCAGCTGTTAGCAAGCATGAAGCTAATCAAATCAGGTCCACGCATACGGAGTCCCACACTAAGTTTACAAGTGGTGCACTGGTCATGTAAACAGTCTTCCTAACGTGCGTTCACATGTTCCATCTTCCACTATTTGCCCTAAAGTTATTAAGTATTACAAAAATATAAATTAATTGAAGAAACCCCATTCCTGTTTCATTGTTTAAACCAGTCACTCGCATACGGTGAATTTCGAATTAGTATTGACCAAAGCAGTGTTGATTTTTCTTTGCAGAGAATTAAAGATTTCAGGTAAACAATCCGTTTCATTGAGGGTGACAAAGATAACACTACCACCACTGATATAAATTTACCTCTACGTTATATTTATTGTTCTGAAAAATTTTTTACAAGGCAATAGCCTATGCTAGGTTATCTTATCTTGATAGGCACATAGCTAATGACAAGCACATTAAATTTATTATTGTTGATTTGTTTTAATGATCAGTAGTTAGAAAAACTTAGCATGCTCTGTTCAGCAACATACACTAACACTGTATTTCATCTGTGCTGAACATGAAAGTGCAACTTACGTGAATGTCCTGACTTGAAAGTAGTCTTCATGCACCCTCTTTGTACAATTGCAGCTGGTTCTTGGCATAAACTATCAGCCCGGCTCTAGTTTTAAAACGAGTAAAATGGTCATTACTTGTTCATATTTTGATCAAAGTCCAAATAAATATTGTATTAAGGCTCAGACATACAGAGGATACCAAGTTATTTGAATTAGTATACCAAACAAATGGATTCATGAGCAAAATTATGACTTCCTAAATTACCTCAGTTTGGAGAAATGGAGTTAAAGTCCAAATACAGCTGAGACCAAAGTGGACTGCTACTGTCTTAAAATGGCCGTTCTCCAATGGTTCCTGCGAATTGTATTTCATAAACCTTTACATCAATTTATTTGCAATGGGAATTTAAAAAAAATATTTTTTGCACAAATAGGTAGTGAATGAAAAACTGTTTCTCTAGGTTGCGCAGATGAGCTTATGGTCAATCCAAATGAAGCCACATCCAAAGTGAATAAATGTAATAATGCATAAACTGTTTTTTTAAATTATTAAGAAATTCCTGCCCTAATAGGACCCTTGAATGCCTTGCAATAGCTACTAGATACTCTTCATGCTTTTTACTGTGGACGAACATTAATTATTTAATTACTGCTTGAGACGGGCAGGTTATCGTTGGATTTATTATTTATCTCATCAACCCTCAAATGAAATGGAGGTTCAGGTGCATGCTGCTAATTCTGCTTGAGTTTAACTTAGGTAGTTTCCATATTCTCCTTTCTAAATGCAATCTAAAAGCAGAAATAAGCTGAGCAGTCGGTGTTGTCAAAAGTACACAGACGGGAAAAGTAGGTGTTAAAAAAAATCACTAACCACTCCTGCAATATGCCATCATTGTCCACTTATTATGAAGTCAGGGAGATTCTTCCAGCTCTTCTGGAAGGACTCCAAGGCATTCACAGGCCAACCAAGAGACATAGGGACTCAGTCGGACATGCCCGAACCACCTCAGCTGGCTCCTTTCGATGTGGAGGAGCAGCGGTTCAACTCTGAGTCTCTCCTGATAACTGAACTTCTCACCCCATCTCTAAGGGAGAGAGTCCAGCTACCACGCAGAGGAAACTGTATCCACGATCTCATTCTTTCAGTCACTACCCAGAGCTCATGGCCATAGGTGAGGGTAGGAACATAGATCAACCGGTAAACAGAGAGCTTTGCCTTACAGCTCAACTTCCTCTTCACCACAACAGACCGGTACAAAGTCCACAATACTACAGATACTGCACCAATCCATCTGTCGTGAACAAAACTTAGATACTTAAACTCCTCCACTTGAGGCAGAACCTCACGGCATGATGACCACATCATCTGCAAAAAGCAGAGGCAGAATTTTCCTGCGATATGGTTTTGTATAATAGTGTTTGCATAAATCGCTGTAAAAGTTTGGACATTCGAGTTATCTGTCTAACCGCAGTCCTGTCGGAGGCAGTAAAAATAAAAAACATCTACAACATTAGTTTTTCCCATGCATACAAGCTTGACTTTTACCAAATTGTAAAGAAGTGAAACCATTTGTTCTGACCTTTAGCTCAGATTAAATAAATGTGTTTAAAAAAAGCCCAAACCAATTAAAAAGTGGTAGAGGAAGTCTTCTTTAGCTGAGAACTATTGGTTTAGGAAGCATAGCTTATGTGGAAGAAGGCAGCTAATTCCTAAAACATAAAAAATCTGCTGTGCTTACAATTGATCTGACATTTGTGAACATATTTCCTTAAATAAATTTAGAGAAAGGTCAAAACCAGACCTTGCTGTTGGAAGCTGGTATTTAATATCCCAGCTATAAACTGTAGAAGTTTCATATCTTGGGGGTGTTAATGAAACATTATCTGTGGTAAAATACTAAAAAAAACCTTCAAATTTCTTCTTCCCCACAGGCCTGCTTTCTTCATCAAATCTCCAGAAGCCCGCCGAACACCGCAGCCTTCCCAGCAGGCCGTGCTCCAACAAAGCTCAGCGAAATCCTTCATTCCCGGGGCATCAAAGCAGCCGCTCTGCCGCGCCAGAACCAGACGCCGTGCTGTTCTGACAGCGGCAGTGTTTCGGCTCATCTCACCTGGTGTGTCCTTTCACGTATCGATTCAGATCACTAGGTGACAAAAAGTCAGCTTTTCTCTGATTTGTCTGCTTTTGAAGCCACAGAACCGCAGCTAAAACAACTGGATGATCAGAGTTTCCTGTTTGGAAAGCTTTTTTTTAATTAAGGGTTGTTTTGCATTAGATATGGGCTGATATCAGGGAGCTGAAGGATTCTCTCCCTCAGAGATGACGTTTCTTCACTGCTGATGATTCAAGTAATTAGATTATAATTCACCTTTAAGTTGGGTGAAAAAAGTATTTATACATTAAAAATGACTACAAAAGATGAATGGAATATTAAAAACCCGCAGTTTCTATTATTTACAATGGCAGTAAAAGGTGACACTTTTTACATGAAAATATCTTAAGTCCTTGCTTGGTGGTTCAAAAAATATTGCATGAAGCAACAAATATTTTTGGACTATAAGGTGCGCTTTCATTTCCTCAAAAATCTGTCAGAATGAACTTGTTCAGCTTAATGAGCCTTTATAGTCTGAAAAATACGGTAATTTAATAAAACTCTAAAAAAGTAATCGAGATAACTCATTTACTTTTAAAGTCAGTTCAAACTAATATGGTTGTCACCTCTAATCTTAGAAAACAATCGATTTTACAAATGAACCAAATCTAAATAAAGATGGCCACCACAGCTAATCAACCTTAAAGTCCTCTTTTGGACTGTAAATTGTTTGTATTTTTTTATATTTGTCTATGTTCCTTTGTATTGAAACTCTGGCACAACAATTTTCTGCGGGATCAATAAAGTTCTCATATCAGCAAACACAAAAATGGTTAAAGCTTATTTACATATTCTGTGCTATGATGTGTACAGTACTCCCTCGCTACTTCGCGGTTCGTTTATCGCACACTTGCTCTATTGCGATTTTTCAAAATAAGAGTGGACATGACACAACCGGCTGATTGATATGGCATTTTTATTTAAAATAAATAATTTTAAATGATTTAGCGCCTGTTTCACCTCTGTGCAGCCCATACTGCAGGATAAACTTCCTGCTACAGCTGATCAGCTGTTCACCGTGCAGAGCGGAGAAGTGGGCGTGGCCAAGAACTGAAATCATGGCATACGGCGCTCTTTTAGAGCTTAGAATATTGCAAGAGTTTGGGAAGAGTTTAAAACTATACCTACTTTGCGTTTTTTCACTTGTCGCGGGGCTTCAGGGTACAGATCCCCTGCGATAAACGTGGGACTACTGTACTAGCTGAGCATCAGACCGGAAATAACCTGACCGGACTTTTTGTGACGTGCAGGGCGATGAGCATTCCTTTATAAAGGCTGGTTTCATGTCAGATTGAGGATATTTGTGCATCAGTATTTTTAAAAACATGCATGGGGAGGAAATAAAAAGTTGTTGTAATTAAGTCAGTTTCTAGGAATTGGAGCTTTTTATTCTCAGAATAAAAATAAGTCATCCCTTACGTTGAGTAGTGTAAGGTTTACTCCCAAAAGACTGAACTATACTGACTGAATTAGGTACAAATAGGCTCGTTTCCTTTAAAGGAGCAATACAGCCCAATATACGTTATGCCCTGGGGGAGTTGATTTTGGACTCACAGCTGTCCCAGAAAATGCCTTGGTTAAATAAATTACCCAATTTTGAAGCATAAAGAAAAAAAGGCTTGCTTTAAAATTATGTATTCCAGCAGTCTGTAATCCAGAAAATTAGATTTTTATTTTTTTTACAGTGTTTCACATAACTGTCCTCGGATGAACCGGGAGGCACATTTGTGCCGCTGAACTATTGCAAACCTCTTTGACAGTTCTGACCTTTTCAGGGATGGAAAGAAGAATCCAAAATAGATGAAGTTATTAAATTATCTGTGCTGCAGCAGGCGCTCGCTGGACATGTTGAGCTTTTACAGGAGGATAGTTGCAGGAACAGCCATCCTGATGTCAATTATGTGGAAATAATTTCCATATTTGCGTAGTTTGCCATCACAAAATGTTAATCTGCACGGAGAGAAAAAAGACTAGATAACATGAAAACAACTAAAAGTGAATAATAACGCAATCTTTTTCTTTTAATGTTTGCTGCTTTTGTCTAAAAAATTAATTTCAGTATTATACCTTTACCTATTCAAACAAATTTAATCAAATTATGTTTTAAAATGAAATGGACAAAAAGCATTTTTACCTCAGCCATATGATATAAACCTGTTTGCTAAACTAGTCAAACCACTGATTTGTGGCCAACTTCTTTAAGCAAATAATTAACTCAAAAGTCCACAATGTGTAATATTGTAGGGAATCTATCAGATATTTTAAATTCACTCATGCAGGCTGCAGTTTGTTTGCGCTGTAAGGAGAGCGCCACTTCTTTTCCTTTAATCTAAATCTGATGCTTTATATACATCAAACACAAAGAGGACCAACAACATATTTTTACCGAATACACTCGATCAAAGAAATCACGTTTCGTTGACATTCAGGGCTCGAACGTCTGAAGCTAAATCAAATAGGGGGCTTCCTTATATTGCACGTTGAGTGCTTTTAAGGATCCAATCATGAAATGTTCTTGAAGAAAATGAAAAGCACCCCACCGGCTGGTGTCAGCACAACAGAAGGAAACATCTTAAAGGAAACCCGCGGACAACAGGAAGGCCTCATAAACAGGATTGTTATACTGCGTCCTATTTCAGATATTGCGTGTACTTAAGGGGATTAGCTGCAAAGCATACACTCTTTTATTACGTTCATTAAGCCGTGAATGAATTATTTTTCAAATGCCAGGAAGTGACTCACGGAGTGACAAACTAATGAAGCGCTCAGAAAGAAAATATCAGTCCTGTATTAAAAAGAGCAGCTGTATGGCGCTCTTACATCAGCAACTGTTTAAATGTTAATACCGTGGGAATTAGTGTTAACGTACGGACATGAAACTTTCCTTAGTTTGAACTGTGCTCTGTGGTTACTTAATGGTTTATTTTTAGCACTTCTTTGTTGATTTTCTTGTAATTTCAGTACATTTGAACAGTTTAAATTCAAGCATACAAAATAACTTCGAAGTAATGTTCTGTTTAAATTTGTATAGACAAAGGCTAGGCTAATGTAGCCAAAAGAGTGCCAGTTTTCTTTTTAGTGTTTTACAGGCAACATTACTCAGAAATGGCTAAATTTCAAATAAATTCAATAAAAAATTGGTGTGGTAGCTAAAAGTCTATCTTTCAAGCGCTAATAGACCACGCACGCTCACAAGATCTGAATATTATTTTCAAGGTTTGACCAAAATCATTTTTCAACATAAAGTCTTCGTCTAAATCTACGGCTAGAAACATGGTGGGCGATATGCACGTCTGGCGTCTGTTAAATATTAATAGATTACTATATTTGTATTTCTCAGTAGTTTCAGCTGAGAATCAGGAAAAAAAGAGGCATGTTTCTGTGCATTTCACCCGGTGTTGAACACAGAAAGCTTTCTGTGATACGATGCACAGCTGCTCTTTTTAATCTGAGTGGGCAGCTGATTTCACTCGATGCAAAACTACACGTTGCTAATTATAAGAATGACATCAAAAGTGCAGCAGCAGACATTCCAACCATGGAAAATGTTCAATTTATATATGTATATGCATCTATATTAAAAAAAATATATATTTTTTTGGCAATACCAATACAATTTCTGTGTTTGCTAAAGGTTATTAGCTACAGTGGCCATCTTGAATCAGGCGTTGATGATTATCCAATGGTTGCTTTCAGAATTGTTAAAAACCGTTTTGCAGACAGACACTTGTGAACGTTTGAATAAATATGGATAATAAAACAGAGAGTAAATGTAAGCTTTACTGGGAGAAAACTGCATAAACTATCGAGAATAATTATATTGGAATACGTATTTTCTAAAGGAAAAAGCTGTACATTTCAATCAGTTGAAAGCTCTAAATGTAAATTTGTTTGTTGCCTTTAGGTTTTACGCTGTCAATCAGAATTGATTTTGTTTATTTGTCAAACAATCGAATCCATGATAAACTAGATATGATCAAAATGCATATTTTTAGATTCTTGGCTCTTCCATCCTGATATCATGAGCATTTCCAGAGAGGCTTAATTGGTCTGCATCCCGTTTTTTCTGTTTTCTAATGAGAATTTTTGTTGTCATATGAAAGAAGATATCATAATTAGTCAGCGGGAAAGAAAAATAGCGCCACTAGCTTGTGAAGCAGCAAAAACTTAAAACATTCCACTGTGCAACTTAATCCTCAGTTTGACGTGACGAGTCACATGTATGTATAATTTACAGGCTTATTTTAGGCTTTAAAAATATAAATTTCTGGCAGTTGAATGTTTTGTAGCATAAGTTTCTTCCACTATTTGAATCTTTCGGCTCATCCCCTCCTCAAACCACAATTACCGACGGGCGTGAAAAGTGCTCATTGCTTCACCTCAGGGTCCAGGCACGAACGCAATTAAAAGTACGACGCGACGTGCAAGTTTCACGAGTTTACGACTCTGATTAGACCGAAATGGAAAAAAATCCATGTTCGGCAAATGGTTGAATCAACCAATAATATTTTTGAAGGTTTACCTTTTCTTTTATCAATAGGGACAGTATGTCAACAAAAACAAGCATATTTTGAAGAATCCAGGTGCTGTGTTCAGTTTTAGACGTCCTCGTTTCGTTTAACCTTGCAGACATGATCAATTATTTTGTTTTCCTCTCCCCGCGCAGCAATTTGTTTTGCATTAAAGGAGCCATACATATAGCAATTAGAGCTTGTTGCTGGGGACAAGCGAGACTATTATCTTCAGCCAGGTGTAAAATAAGTGTGATTATGAGCAATGAAAATCCTGGCTGGATGTGGAGAGACCTAAATGGGCATTTTTCAATCCGTCTGTCTGCACATGCAGCTCCGACTCTGAGAGGGGACAATTCACAACACGCCGGCGAAGTTAATTACCTCAGTGAATGGGGAATAATAGCATCAGGGGAGCGAAGGACTTTTCTTCTCTTGTGTTGGTTTTAGAGTACAGCAGAACCTCTCTTCACCCCGTTTCACTTTAATTAGGTATTTGCCCAGGAGACGGCCTTTTTTTGGTTAACATCTGTGTTCTAGCTATCCCAGAAGCAATGACCTTACAGCGGGGCTTTCTGATTCTCTCTCTGCTCACACACAATTGATGACCCTATTGTGTGAATACTTATTGAGCATTCACACTACTGTGATCCTGTTTGTATTCATTATTCCGTATTCTTCCAGTTACCTTAAATTGTTCCGTACGTTTTGATGCTATTTCAACAATTCATGAATCAAAACTTTTAGCTCTTTCAGGAAAAAGGTGAACTTTTGGTATTGATGCAATTTCTGCCATTTTTTTCTCATAGAAAATGAATAGAGCTCATTTTACATCCTTCATATCTTTAGATCTGTTTACAACCTTTTATTTCATGTTCAGCTTATTTCAGTTTCCTTGTGCAAATGTTAAAAAACAAAAAA